CGGCTTTACTCATTATGCCACACCACCAGCCCCTGGAATCTTGTTTCAAGAGGATTTATCTATTTAAAATAAGTACTACAGAAAGAGAACCAGAAAGAAAAGGAAACAGAGAGAGAGAGATCTTAAATCTACTGGTTCATCCCCCAAATGACAACTCAACCCCCAAATGCAACAGCAGCAAGGACTGGACCAGGCAGCAGCCAGAAGCAAGAACTGCTTTAAGGTCTCCCATGATGGTGACAGAAACCCAAATACTTGGGCCATCCACTGCTTTTCCCAGCCCACTAACTGGGAGTTGGATTGGAAGTGGAACAACCAGGACATGACCATCTTTTTAAAACAGGTACATGTGCATGTGAATATATCAATATGATGTGTTAATATATTATGTAATATTATGTATTACCAAATACTTAATGCAACATATTATATATTTGTGTATTAAATATATCATATTTTATTCTATAGTATGTGTTATAATATTATATATTAACATATTTTAAATATGTATATTTAACCCAGTCATTCAGGAGGTTAATCCTTCACACTGCATGGCCTGGGAAAGCAGTGGAGGATGGTCCAAGTGTTTGAGTTCTGTCACGCACATGGAAGAACTGAAGAAGTCCCTGTTTCCTGGCTTCTGATTAGCTCAGCTCTGGCCATTGTGGCCATTTGGGAAGTGGACCAGTGGATGGCAGGCACTCTCTCTCTCTCTCTGCTATAATCTGCTTTGCTTTAATCTGCCCTACATATAAATTATAAATCTTTTTTTTAAAAAGTTTTCTTGATCAGTTCCTTCTTTGCACTGTAAGATAATCAGTAGTAATTTATTAGAACTCCATAACTTAGAAATTAGGAGGATCATTATGTGAATAAAATAATTTGAATGTACAATATGGAAGATATCCTGTAGGTATATTGCAGGCTTAATTTACATGATTTATTTTACTTATGCACCTTTAAAATCACTTACACAGGCTGAAGCACTGGAAGAACACAGGAGTTCACATAATTATCACCTAATGAATCCTCTGTGCAGTTGTAGCCACAAAGGGATGAGTTTTCACATCTGCATTTAGGAGCTACATTTCAGATCATATATGAGGGACTATGAGCATGCAGGTAAAGCAGCAGGGCCGTCAAGGCCAGGCGCCCAGTCTGTGGACACAGAACAAGTTTTCCCCACAGCGCAGCACACTGGCAGCTTCCACTCCCCATGTATCTGTCCCACCAGAGTCACCAGACCAGTCAGATGACTCCCTGATGGGAGAGAGAATTCTGACTCTGCTCATCAGAGTAAGCCACTCTCCTTATGGTGGAGCTTTTCTGCCATCTAGTGGCAGATTTATAGTGTAGCCACTTAGAGCAATGAAGCTAGTAAACAAAGGTTTGTCCCTGTTACAGCTGAGTAACATAGCCCACTGCCTAAACCTACATATATTCTTTGTCCACTTCTCAGTTGTTGGTCTCTGAGGTTATCCCCGTTTCTCAGTACTTATGGCAAGCTTGATACCAATATGTGAAGATCTTATTTAAGGATAGTTTTGGTTTGTGTTTTCTGATTAAAAGTATAGTTGCTCTTTTTTATATGTGTGCATGTTGGCTTTCTTGTAAGCCTCCTTAGGGAATGTGTGTTTAAATTAACTCCCAAATTAAAGGATTGTTTTGTCCTTTTGATGAAGTCATTTGAGTTCTTATGTGTTCTGGTAATTAACTCCTTGTCAGGTGTGGCAGGTACAAAGTTTTTCCCCTATTGCAAACATTGTTCTCCACTCTACTGCTTGACTTCTTTGCCAAGCAGAAGCTCTTTAGTTGGGTGAGTTTTCATGTGTCTGTTGTTCCTGATTCTCCTCCTTTTTTGTTGACTCATCCAGAAAATAACTGCACATTCAGTTGTCCCGTAGGACTTGCATTTTTTAAAGTTTTTATACCTTGAGAATCCACACATATATCTTGGTTTTGTTCCTATCCATTCAGGTTCTGGTGATGGCCTCGCATTGAAAATTATGAGGATTCTTGATTTCAACCTCCTCAGGTCTAAAGCCCCATCCTATTCACAAGACTGCCAAATAAGGACTCTTCTAACTCGCTTGTATTTCAGCTAACTCTTCACTTGGGGCATGGCTACTTTCAAAGTCTCCAGTGTCTTCTGAATTCTCAGTCAGATGCCCCCCTGGTAAGTTGAGCCTGGAGTGTGATCTCACTGAGAAGTCTAGGAGTCACAGGATGCTTCGGAAGTGGCATCCGTGTGTCACACCTTAAGGCAGAGGCCAACCTGCATCACTGGACGTAGGTCTGAGGAAATTCTAAGTCCACCTCTTGCCTAGTCAAATAGGGGACTGGCTCACCCGGGATATATGACAGTCAGTGGAGGAGAACTCAATACCATCGATGGCCAGCAGGAAGAGCCATAGAGAGGGAGGAGAAGATTGGGGGTATCCTCTGGGAAGTTCTACAGACGAACGAGAGATTCAGCACCTGACATCTGGGCTTTCTGTACAGATCATGATGTGGTGAGGGAGCCCACCCCCACAGTGACAGGTGGGCATGGCTTCCATGAACCAGCCGACAATCTCTTTCCTCTTACACCTGATTTCCTGAATACTACATCCACTTTCATAGATTCCTGTTGGCATTCACTTTGAGTGTCTTGCCATTGATTGTATAAATCCTAACCCCACGGCATGTCCCTGAATCGTCTGGACACAGGTTAGAACTGGTATCATCTGTGAGAGCCACAGGCAGCTGAGAGCACCAGAAACCTCACCTCCAGACCTCCTGGTCCAATCTCTATGAGCATGAGCTACAGACACCTGTGCCCTCTGTGAATGATGTGCTTTGGCTGCTGGGGAGCACTAGAAATTTCCCATTTCAAACAAATGCATGCCCTCTGTTCTTTATTAAGATGTGATTTTGACTTTAATTCTATCGCACAATTATTGTTTTAAATGCTGACAGAGGCCTCATTTTTACTTTGTGAACCATGACTAATGCTGTAAACTAGACAGATCAGATATACGGACCTCTCTGTAGGAAAGTCCTGGTCACGTCTCTGTTGCAAAGCGAGAAAAGCAACGAGCAAGGTGCACAGAAACACTTCTGAATATGCATGCTAAAATGTCCTAGTTACTTCTAAGCCTGGATGCATCTGGGAGAGTGTGCACGCAGATGCAGTCCCCACGAGGAGCAGTTGAGGCAGCTCGGCCTCATGCCTGCGCTTCACTGGGTGGTTTATATTCAGCCTTGTGACACTGTGGGTCACCACAGTATTGACTTTGAGAGTAGTAAGTGGTAACACCTTCAGACTGCACACTGCTGATGGTGCAAGTGAACTCGGTTGCAATCCACTGCTGCTGAACCTCAATGGGATCCCAGATTGTAATCTGGATGCCACATAAATCAGGAGCTGAGGAGATTGCCCTGGTTTCTGTTCATCCCACGCTAAGTTAGTGCTAATGCTCCGACTTGCCTGGCAATTGATGGTGACTTTGTTTCCCACCGAAGTAGGCAGGGAGAGTGGATCCTGGGTCATGTGGATGGCACATCAAGCACCTGAGATAGGAAACAGAAACAGACAATCATATTGTTAGATGATTTCCACGAACAGCTGAAGCAACAATGACCTGCCTGGTGAATAAAGTCTTGGTGTGGTTCTTCCTCTCCAGGAGACCAGGAGCTGAGCAGGGGCCTCATGTCCATGCTGTGTCCTGACTGGCACTGACTCCTGCATGGGGTGAGAGCCCCTGCTCCTAAGGCAGTGGGCTGTGCTCTGTGGACATGCGAATCAGCAGGGGTAGGACACAGCTGATTCTTCTCTGTCACACAGGCCCAGGGATCCCTAAGGTCCCAACTCACAACAAGGAAACACAAATTTGCCTCCAAATATGTCCCTCTATGGGATGAGTTTGTTAGAGATTATTTAGTCTAAAGGTTAAGACATGAAGTGGCTCAAGAATAGCTACATTAGCAAGGAGCTCAATCAGATATGGAGCAGCTGGGACTCAAACTAATAGCCACTGGGATACCAGCACAAAAGGCTTGACCCACTTGTCTAAGTGCCAACCCCAATTTGTGCAAGAGAGTCAAGGAGAGAGTTCTTTGTTACTTGGTAAAAACGAATGAGATAATACATGTAGGCTTTTCAGTTGTTTATTCATATCATTGGATGGAGTTCTTTTGGTTTATTCTGTTTCTATTTTTGTTTTCTTCTGGACCCAGATTTCTTATTACACTGGGAATCAGATCTCAACAAAATCAAGGACCATCACCTATCTGACAGATTCATGGTGTTGGGGAAAAGTGACCATCCTGGGTTGTCACCTATAAGCTCCTCATTGTCACAGCCCTGTTATGGACATCAGAAAACCATCTCTGAGGTTTCCTGTAGAGTCATTCACCTAGGAGATGTTGAAGTCAGTGGGGAAGAAAACCCAGTTCTCGCTACAGTTCTCTCTACTGACACCTGTAGGGAGAACAAGGAAGCGAGGTGGCGGCTTGGGAATCACCAGCAAAGTGTATAGGCAAACCAGGACATCAACAAATAGCATGTGGATATTCTATGGAGGTGTGAGGACCACAGGGTAGAGGACCCTACCTTCATAATGCCAGGTGGCCTTGGCTTCTAGGAACCTATCCTACAGTCTTCATCTGTGGCACCTGCTTTTCTGACTACCAACTCCAGGATTACACTTTGCATTCTTAGAATGTCCACATTTTTGATTGGCTGCATAGATCCTTAGTGTTGCCATGACCTAGAATATCCTGGTGGGCTTACTATGTCCACTGTCAAATCAGGAGATTCTGTTGAAGCTGATGAAGAGGAGGAAAAGAGAGTAAAAATTCAGAGGATTTCTCTGAACCCTCGAACACAACCTTCCAGTGATCTTCACGATCCAGCTGCATGTAAGTATCACTCTCAGCAGAGGAAGGACCCAGGAGGAGCAGCTGGGGCAGCTGAGCTTCAGCTTGAGCTCTCCTGGGGGTTTATGTTTGAGTTTGTATCATTGTGGAAGGTCATCATAATTTTGTTGACAGTAACAAGTGGCAGCATCTTCAGGCTGCACACCACTGATGGTAAAGGTGTACTCAGTCCCAGTCCCACTGCCCTTGAACCTCGATGGGACCCCAGATTGTAAATAGGATGCACCATAGATCAGGAGCTTCGGAGATTGCCCTGGCTTCTGCTGATACCAGGCTAAAGCTTTGTAAATGCTCTCATCCACCTGGCAATTCATGGTGACTGTGTCTCCCACCGCTGCAGACACCAGGGATGGAGACTGGGTCTTCTGGACGTCACATCTGGCACCTAAGATAAAAAACATAAAAGCAAATGTTCAGTCTGTTGATCATGTTGTAAGAACAGTTCTCTGAAAATCCAAGCAACACAGACCACACTGGCTGAATAAATGTTTTATGTCCTTCCTCACCTGGGAGCCAGAGCAGCAGCAGCCCCAAGAGCTGAGCAGGGGCCCTCATGTCCATGCTGTGTCCTGACTGGCACTGACTCCGACACAGGCTGTGAGTAGCCTGTTTATAAGTCTGCAAGGCAACGGGCTGTGCCCTAGAGACAAGCAAATCAGCAGGGAAAGGGCAAGTGATAGACCAGCTGCAGGGCTGGCTCAGACAACAAATTAAGGGCAGGTGCAGTCTCCCTGGGGTTCCAGCACAGACTGCTACACCAATTCATCTGCAGAGAACCTGTTTTTCCCTACAGATACTTAACCAAAATACACATTTTTGGGTGGCAATATTAAAATTATATGAATCTTATATTGGAGTAGAATATTACATCTCAATCTTCTAGGTTGGTTTCTGTATGAGCATAGTTTTATGGCTGAGAAATGGGCCATAAGATTAGATAATGAGACTATGTCTTCTTCAGTTGACAAATGGTTCTGTTGGAAAGTTGTTGAGTAAGACAGATACATCTGATTTCTGATGCCTGCGCTGTGTGCCGTGATTTCTATTTTGATGAATGAACACGTGAACTGAAGACCTAAACAAAAGGACTTAGTTGCTAGACGCAGGGCTCAATTTTGTCGTTCTGCTGTAGGGTGCTGAGCACCTCTCCAGCCCAAAAAGTCAAGGTCATCTATGGCTGGGGCTGAAGGCAGTGACCACTGAAGGTACAATGACTCACAAAAAGTTCAGGAATGACCCAAATTCCAGACCCTTAAAACAACAGGTGCTGAAAGTGTTGGTGTTTTAAATATTAGAAAAATGAATCTGGGGTCTTTTTGGACAAATAACAGTATGCAGAGATTTTCTTAAGGTATTGTAAAAGTTGTTCAGAAAGATTCTTGAAGATTCTCACTGGGGGAGAGAGTAGTTCAACTGAGTGAATGTCCCCACATGTATCTTTATAAAGCCTCTGTTGGTCTGCTGTAAACTCATTAACACGCAGTTGCTCCATCATATACTCAGGTGTTAAGGATGACACTGGCTTCATAAGAGATTCTGAGTAGATAAGTGTATGCATACAAGAAACACACTATGTCATTGTTCAGGATTATTTTTTAATCATAAAAGGGGAGGTTTATTTTCTTTTTCTGTGTTTTTGTTTTGTTTTGCTCCTGTTACAGATGCTTCTTACACTAGGAATCAGAGTTGAACAAAATTTGGGACCATCACCTGTCTGCCACAGTCATGGGAGCTGTAAAGGTCGTGCTCTTGCAGGTTTGTCACCCTCAGGTCCTCATCACAGCCCTGCTGGAAGCACATTTCTCAGAAAACTTTTCCTCCCTAAGGTTTTCTGTAGAGTGGCTCACCTAGGAGATGTGGACATCAGCAGAGAAGACTCAATGTCTACTGACACCTGCAAGGAGGATCAAGGAGCCAGGTGAGGACTGGAGAATCACCTGGGAAGGCTGTGGGCAACCTGTAGCACCAGCAAGCAGCACCTGAGACTTCTGCTCAGGGCTGAGGACCACAGGGTTAGCGAGCCCACCCCCACAATAACAGTGGGCTTGGCTTCTATAAATTCAACTTGTATCTGGCACTTTCCTGAATACCACACTCCAGGCTGTCACGGATTACAATTTGTGTTCTCATTACTCAGCCTAGAGTCCCTGGCTCTAGTACCTGCTTCCTCATTGGCACACCCCAAGATTTCATGGATTACAATTCGGGTTTTTATTTCACGCCTAGAATGTCTGCAGTGGCTTCTCATTGCCAGCGTGTATCCTTACTGTTGGTATGGCCTGTAATCACCCTGTGAAGTTATTTATACCCATTGTCTAATTAGGAGATTCTGTGGAAGCAAAGATGGAAAAAAGAAGTAAGATACAGACAATTCTCCCTGGACCCTTTTAACAGAAGTTTCCAGGCATTCTCAGCCAGGCTGCCATTGAGTATCAGGCTGCTAAAAGACCCCAGGAGGAGCAGCTGAGGCAGCTGAGCTTTACACTTGAGCTCTCCTGGGGGTTTATGTTTGGTTTTGTATCACTGTGGTAGGCCAATCATAACTTTGTTCACAAAAATAAGTGGCAGCATCTTCAGGCTGCACACCACTGATGGTGAGAGTGAACTCCATCCCAGATCCACTGCCACTGAACCTGTCAGGGACCCCATCGACTAAACTGGATGCATAATAGATCAGGAGCTTTGGAGGCTGCCCTGGTTTCTGCTGATACCAGGCAAAAGCTTTGTTAATGTACTCGCTCACTTCACAATGAATGGTGGCTGTGCCTCCCACCGCTGTTGACAGGGAGGATGGAGACTGGGTCACCTGGATGTCACATCTGGCACCTGAGAAGGGAAACATAAACGCAAACGTGCACTCTGCGAATCATGATGTAAGAGAAGCTCCCCAAAAGGCCAGACTGCACTGAGCACATAGCCGGAATAAATTCTTGTTGTCGTCCTCACCTGGGAGACAGAGCAGCAGGAGCCCCAGGAGCTGAGTGGCGGCCCTCATGTCCATGCTGTGTCCTGACTGCACTGACTCCTGCGCAGGGTGTGACAGGCTGCTCATTAAGTCTGCAGCACTCTGTGCTGGGCTCAGACAATATGCAAATCAGCAAGGGATGTCTAGGTCTAGTCCTGGCTGCAGGGCTGACTCACACAACCAGCTACGCTCAGGTGCAGTCTCCCCCAGGATCCCAGCATAGAAGGCTACACCTACATACCTGATGGCAGTTTTAATTCCATTGGGCACATTTTACCAAAATATACACTGTTGGGGGAATAATCCTAAAAAAAAAAAAAAAAAAACTAGTATAAATCTTATGCTGAAGTGTGCAAAAAATTTCAATCCTATACTTAGATTATTGTGAAATTCCATTTACTTCTGGCAACTGAATGATACGGTTAGATAATGGGACTATCTCTTGTTCAGTTTGTTCTCAAATATTTGTGTTGGCAAGTGAATATACGTCACACTGACCTTTCAACATTGTTTTGACTGTGTAACTGGAACCAGTAAGAGAATCAAACAGGGATATTACTGAGAGTCACATTAAAAAATCCTTGGCAAGGGCCCACTCATTGTTTTTATGCTTCCAAGATCAGGAATTTCATTCTGGACCTGAAGACAATCACGTTTTCCTCAGTGGATGTCACACAGATTCAGGTTGTCTGAACCTCATATGATTGTAACACTCTGGGAATAAATTGACACCTTTTGATCCTTATCTGAGACCCTGCCCTGTTTTCTACTCAAATTTCCATCCTTTGGTCCTTTTTCTCTGATTCTCAGGAAAAAGTGCTAAAAGTAATGGCAGGTTTAAAATCCTCCACACAATACCCATGTGTGTGTGTGTGTGTGTGTGTGTGTGTGTGTGTCCTTGCCTCTTCTCTCTCTGCCTCGATAACAATGGTTATCATCATAACCTTATTCCACTGGTGTCTCCAGCAATGCCTCTTTGTAGTCCACCGCATTTGGATAGAGTATCCAAGACTCAAATAAAACTCGGATGTAGATCTGAACCCCCTATGTCTCACTTCCCTGCTTTGGTTCCTGGCATCTCTGCACAGCTGAGTACCAAGCTGACTAAAAGCAACTACTCAGCATCATGACCCTGGAACCTAGGCACCCCAGGGAGTGATGTGTGTCAAGACTATAAGTGACCAGAGCACAGGGTGCAGCCCCTGCACACACTTCCTGCTACTCGTCCTGGTGCCGGGACTTGAAGGGTAAATACTTGTAGCAGACCAGTCTGGGGCTGATTTTAGTGATGCAACCACACAAGGAAAGATCACGTCTTTGGGCAAATGCAGCTGTTATTGTTGAAAACCGTGACCATTTCCACTCCACTGCATTTCTGTTGACTTGCTCCAGTGATTTCTGTGCCTTGCTTAGCTCTCAAGGCTGTGAAGGCAACTCTGCCCCTTTGATGAGTCTCCCTGGGGCTGGCCTCAGTCACATCCTAATTCCCTCACCTGTGTCACTTTATTTATTTAGTTAGTTAGTTAGTGAGTGAGTGAGTTAGTTAGTTAGTTATATTCCTTCTTTTTTAACCTGTATCCGTTTCTTCCTTCCCTCTAGCTCTCCTGTTCCTCACAAAGATCCTGCAGCACAGCAGCCTTACCAAGGTGGACACTACCTGACCATGAACACATCCTCCTCTTCGGAGCATAGCTTGGGTGGAATTCTTGCCACTTTTCTAGTTTTGATGTTTAGAAAACTCCAGAACATTCAAGAAACTTTTAATTCCCTTTTCACAAACATTCAAGTTAAGCAGTGATTATCGTATCAAATGGACCCTCAAGAGATGTCAATGTGTCATGGAGGCAGCTGCAGAGATTCCCCAAAATCTACAGCCTGGAGGTCAGAGATTCAGAGAGCATAATGGGGATATTTCTTGTTCATTTCTTAAAATACTTATGTTGTCACATGACTGTATGTTGTACTATCCTACAGCATTTCTCTGAATATGAAATTAATTCATCAATAAAATAAACTCTTATGAGGAGTTGCATTTAAAATCCTCTATAAAGTTCCCAAGTTTCTAGTTTCAAAGCATTTTTATGAAGCTATGTGAAAACAGTCACATTTCCCTATTTGAGTTTCATGTGGGTACAGGTCATTCAGCTGCAGGTGTCTAACACTCAATACACACATAGAAGTCTTGTAAGCCTTATTTGGGACTCCTATATTCTACTCAGATTTCTGTCATGTGGTCCTGCTTCTCCAATCCTCAGGATGAAGGCATGAGAGTGATGCCAGACGTGAAATTCCCCATGAAATATCTATTGCTTGGTGTGTGTCCCTGTCGTGCCCTATAAGTGCCACTTTCCTCTTTTCATCAGTGGTGGCAGGTGCAGAGGTCATTCTAATTCAGACCTAGCCCACTTCTATCTCCTATTTTGCCATTTCACATGAGCAGGGAGAAATGTCCAAGACTCAGATGAATCTTGAACATAGATCTAAGACCATACGTTTCATATCTGGAGTCCAAATAAAACCTCCACACTGAGTTGAGCCCTGTAACTTACATCTCTACAGTGACTCCAACCAGCATGACTTGTGGACTATCTGCAAGCAGCTATGTGAGTCTCAGCCTCTTGGAGCCTGCACACTCAGGGGAGTGTTCCAGATGCAGGACAGGAAGTGTCCAGGGCCTGATAGTGCACACACCTGCTGCCCTTCTGACACCTGAACTTGAGACGAAGGTGCTCGCAGCAGGCAGGCCACCACCCTGGATCCAGAATGTGTGTAGGTGAACGTGGCAGGCCCTGTGACACCTGACTGTGTCCACATCACTGCCTTCCTGATGATGTGCACCAGTTACTGTTTATTCCCTGTTTATACTGGCGTTCTAGAGGGCAATGTCACTGTGCAGAATGCACAATTAAGTCTGACAGTGGGACTATCAGTGGGTCTAGTATGAATATCCAATTACAAAAACAGGCAGAACTTTCCTGAGAGCTCAGCGAGAAGTGATGAGTGGCAGCTGCCCAAGGTGTGCACAGTGCACTCTCCTTCCAGCGCCCCCTACACCAGCACAGCTTGCCATCCAGCTCTTCCCGAGGCCTGGAAAGGCAGTAGAGGACAGCTCAAAGTCTTGGGATCTTGCAGTCCTGTGGGAGACCTAGAGGAGGCTCCTGGATCCTGGCTTTGAATCTGCTCAGTCTGGCCATTGCAGCCACTTGGGGAATGAATCAGCAGATGAAAGATTTTTCTCTCTGTATCTCTTCCTCTCTGTATATCTGCTTTTCCAATGAAAATAAATAAATCTTTGAAAAAAGATTTAAAAAGATAAACAAACCTTAGCTAACTAATGCACATAAAGCCATCATAAGTAACTGAGAAGGTAAACGTTAGTGGCCTACCAGGCTAATCCTCCAACTGCTAGAGCCCACATCCCATACAGGCACTATTTTCAGTCCTAATTTGTCTACCTGTTAATCCAGCTCCCTGTTTATAGCCTGAGAAAGAAAAAATCGTGGAACAAGTGCTTGGATCCCTGCACCCATGTTGGATAACTGCAAGAAGTTCCTGGCTTCCATTTTCAGGAAGGACCAGCTATTGCCAATGTAAAATTATTGTACAACAATTTTCAGTAACATAGGAAGTTATTAGGTATGCTGTAATCTTAATTTAACCTCTTTATTTGACTCATGCTCTGATAAAGTCAGTTATATTGAGTTAAATCTGACCCCACCACATGAGTTCACATTATCAACTCCTAGAGGAGCTGTATCAAATGACAGCCACTATGGGTTTAGACTCTCACCTCTACACTTAGGAGCCACATTTCAGCCCTAGGCTATTGCCTTGGGCCCTACAGTATCACTTACTTTCCAGCTTTTTCTTCAAACAGGCTTCTCTAAACTTGCACCATCTACTGGCAGAATGATGGTACAGCATGAGACAGGATTCCAGAGACTGAGCCTGAGTCTCCCTCCTTTATTTACAGCTTTACTGTTGCTGTGTGAAGACAGCCACATTTGCCTCACTGAGTGTCACACAGATGCAAAGCATCCACACTGCAAGTGTCTGTAACGCTCAGAGAATAAATACATTCCTCTTATTCCTTATTTGACATCCCAGTAGTCTACGCAAACATCTGTCATTTGGTCCCATTTCTCTGAGTCTCAGGATAAAAGATCAACAACAATGCCAGACTTGAGATCTACAAAACACCTGTTGCTTTGTTTATGACTCTGTCATGCCCTAAATGCCACTTTCCTCTTCTTCTAAGTAGTGAATGTAGACATCATTCTGATCCAGGCTCTAGGCTCACTGTATTTCCAGCAGAGTCTCCTGTTAAGCCACTGTGTTTGGATAGGGAGAACATCCAAGATCCAAACACAACTTGAACATAAATTGAAACCATTATATATTACATCTCTGCTTTGACTTCCGGCATCCCAGAAGGAGAAACAGTTTGACCAGAAACAAATACTTCAGCATCAGCACCCTGGACACTGGGCGCTCAGGAGAAGGACTGTGTGTCAGGAATGTAAGTGGCCAGAGCACAGGGTGCAGCCCATGCACACACCTCCTGATGCTTGTCCTGGGCCTGGACCTGAATGGATCTTGCTTGCTTATAGCAATGCAGCACAGATGCGATTTTAGAGACACAACTATGCAAGGAAGAGCACATTATATGTGAATGCAGTAGTTATTGTTGACAACCTTGACCATGTCTACTTTACCGCATTTCTGCTGATGTTTCCCAATCATTTCTGTACCTCACTGAGCTTCCCAAAGCTGTGAAGGCAACTCTCTGCTCCTTTAGCAGGTCTCAGGGCCTGCAATGAGCACTGCCTGGGGCTGGCATCAACAGTGATGAGAGGAACATGTGTGTAAGTGCCTCAGTGCTCTCATTCTATGTAGAATTGCCCATAGATCTTGAGCTCCGGTCATCTCCACCTCTGCTTGATTTGCCCCAGTGCTTTTTGAATTCAAATTCCTTTACCTGTATCACTTTATCCTCCTACCCGATGACACTTAAGAATAACTGTGACCATTTTGAC